AGAACTCTACAGTAAATCACAAAAGCTTATGAGAGAATAGATACAGTATGTAAGTTTTTAAAGTGTCACAAGACTCTTGTTGTTCTGTCCTGGGAGAGATATGACTTCTGCAATTGCTTTATCTGTTGAGTGATAGGTGTGTGCAAGCTTCCAAAAATGATTTGGAACAGTCACATTCATTTTAATAAGTGGAACATTTAAAGTAGTGGCATTGCATTTTTGTTTTAGACTTCTGTGGATAAAGGTGGTCTGCTTTAATGAAGTACAAAGTCTAAAGCACTTCTGAATCATTTTTCAAGCACACACAGCCCTATTGAGCAACCATATGACTAACTCTGAAATGACTGAAGGTAAAGTGCAAATCACCTAGCAGTTAAGCAACTGGTAATCACATAAAAATGAGGCTGAATTAACTGAATTAGGTAATATTTTCTTTGTTCAGCTAAGTTCCACATGGACAGACTTAACCATAGTTTCAACTCAGACCAAGCTAAATCCAAAAATGCCAGGGAATTCTTGGAAGCTTGGTATCCAGACAAGGCAGCCACCAACAGGCACATAGAGATAAACAACATCTACACACTACTCAGAAGAGACAATAAAAAGGAAACAAAAGACCAGAATACCTCCTCACCAGCAATCATCACCCAGATAAGCAGAGATTAACACCAAGATTATCACCAGACATACAATCAAGCAGTAAACAATACTTAAGGAACTAAAACAAAAGACCAGAATACCTCCTCACCAGCAATCATCACCCAGATAAGCAGAGATTAACACCAAGATTATCACCAGACATACAATCAAGCAGTAAACAATACTTAAGGAACTACCAGAGAAAAAACAACACATACACACACACACACACACCCTACCAACACTGGCAGGGCATGCCACTGTATATAAACAAAGAGCAAACCCCATCGCATTCTAGCACTGAAGATGTTACCTAGCCGGGTAATGAAACATTTGCAAGAAAATCACCAAGCTCAGAGAACCCCAAGGACTCCACACTTCAACCCTGAGCTACGTATATTCTCTTCTATAATTTATGTACTCGCAGTTCAAGATATTTGCCACTCCCTGAGGTTTATGCCCAGATTAGCAATGCCAGGTAAGAATCTAAAAACAAAGGTCCAGGCGTGGATTAACGATTAGTCCAGTTCAACGCTCTATCTGCAGTAACAGCCAGAAGCCCATATTACACTACAGCACTAACAGACCATTCAGTGCTCTTCCATTCACAGTGAGCATCCTGTATTTTTAGCTCAAGGTGCAGTACTGTGGTCATTTGACTTGATTCCATGTGACGCTCGGAGGCTGATCTTCAGGAAGCAGCAAGTGCAATTGGAAAACATGGCAAAGAACGAAGGACACAGCCAGACAGCCACATTAAACTGCTGTCAACCCATCCGCAAGCCCGCAGAAAAGCACGCTTGCATAAACTGTGCTGCCATTATTGCTGATCCCTATTCTGCCTCCACAATGAAGCCAGTTTGTGTGCCCAGGTAAATGGGTATAGGACTGAATCTTTATTAGGCAGAAGGCCTCTGCCTAATAAATGAAATCAGAGAAATTATTTAGAACAGCTAGAGAAACCAGAATTTGGGATTTTATTCTGGGACAGGGAATGCAAAAGCAAAATCACACAAAATCACACATATATAAGAACTTTGAGGAAACCCTGACTTTAGCACTCTGTTGGGTATCAGCATCCAAAATGGTCATCTTGACTGTACCCACCTGAGCAGATAATATATGATTATTCTGACAATTAATACACTTATTCATTTACCTAGCAGGTAAAAAGCCTTCTTCTTGGACCAAAGAGTGGGATATTACATACTCAAAACTATCCACCCATCAACCAACTAGAAACATGCTTCAAGAATGAGGAGTCTATCCACTCTGTCCAAGAAAATCTCATCTGTGGACATGTGTTTTACACATGTGTAGATGAATAAATAGCAGTTCAAAAGGCACAAAGGTTATAGGAAAGAGCACATTCTTCACGGCATGTATATTTTAATTTTATGTACATAGATACTCATACCCACACAAATTAAATATGCAGGTTTTTAAAAACATTAATAAAGAACCATATGAACATACTTCTAACCAGGATATGATCCATTTTTCTTCCCAGAGAAATTTGTACAAAAAAATCCCAGCTTAATAATTGCCCACAAAATATAATTTATTCCTCTTTTTGGTGGGTGAATTTGGTGAGAAAAAATGTATCCATCTTCATATAGGGCTTATAAATGCCATTTGTATAATTAATGTTTACATTATACTGTATAAGTCATCATCTGTACACCATACCACTATTGCAAACATCCATGTCTAGAAAAGAACAGGGTTTGGCACCTACTCTTGTATACAATTTTACTTTTTCACAATGATGAAAATATCTCCATATAACAATAGTTGATCTACTCTAAACACCTCTATTCCATTCAAGCAAAGTTTGGGATAAATCTGATACTTTAATTTTTGAATTGCATAGCATTTATAAAGACTTACATCCTAAGGGTTGAGTTCAGAGGCCTAGGACTTGTAGAAAAATTTGGATTCAAATCAAATGAAGAAGATGTGGATTTTATTTTGGAGCTCTGTCCTTTGGTTCCGTGCAGCCACAGGGCTGGCCCTTATCTTGGTGAGCTAGGAAAAATCCTAGAGTGAACTAACAATGTGTAACCCTGGCCTGAATCAAGGACTGGGTCTGCAGCAAAAACTGCATTAAAGAAAACCTTGGTAAACCCAGCCAAGAATTCCCTTTTTATATTTAAATGAGCACTTCCTGCTTGGTGCTCTTCTCATCTCTCTGAGCTGTTCAGTTTTTTACAGGATGAATGAAAAATGATTTGCAAAAAGCCTGCACTGTAATTTGTCATCTCTATATTACCTGACCAAAGAGGGATTACTTTTATTGCAAATGATAATGCCAGAGGAAGCAGATCAATGACAGTAGAAGCCTGCAATTAACAATAAATGTCTTTGTGGAGGAACTATAAAAATCACAGTACTGATTTAGCTCTACTCTTCCCTAAGTCATCCCCAGGGATCACATCTGAACATCTTGTCATCAGCATCCTCTCTGAGCTCCTCCAGAGTTTTCCATCAAAATCACTATTACTATCAGTTCCTTGGGTCCCCTTCTTAGATTTTTTTTTTCCTGTTTGCTGTAAATTGGGGGTTATCCGAGTTTAACTTTCAAAAAAAGAGAACAGTCTGGAGATGTTGTCATATTAGCCAATGTGCTGCAGGAAATTCATGCATGCATTTATTTTGCATTTTTATTCTGCCTTTTCTCTAAGAGTTCAAGAGAATTGCTAAGTCTGTTTCCTCCCTAACCTTTCTCATTAGGGGAAAGATGTCATGGAATCCATTGGGCTGGAGTTTGAGATCAGAGTGGCTCTGCTCTTAATATATTCCAAATATCCCCAAAGGCACAGGAAGCATTGAATTTTCATGTGCATACTATATGTTTATACTCAGGTGCACCTCACTGAGGGCATGGTTAGTGGGTGTAATCCTGACCCCCATTCCATGTGTTCACTTTACATATCATTTTATGTAAAGATGGTGGATCAGAGATAGGAAGGCTGTGGCTCTCCAGATATTGCTGAACAACACCTTCCAGCAGCCCAAGCTACTGTAGTGTGGTCAAGAGTGAAAGACATGTGGTTCTCCATTCATGATGGATGCTGTGATGCATGTGATAAACCTTCAGTGAAATGCAACTAATTCAATCACCTCTCACAAATGATATATATAAAATTTATCATCATTTCTATTTGCATGTTTACATATATACCAACATACAAACCCCAAAATATCTTTCCTACGCAGGGAAATAAAACCAAATGGGAAGCTACCTTTATTCCATAAAACAGGGGTTCTTAAACTGTGGGTCATGATCTCCAGCAGCCATGAATAAACTAGAGGAGGATCACAAGAATTTTAAAAATTTTGCTCAGGCATGGTAGTCAGGCTTAAACTTTGGAATGTTGCTAAGTTTACAAATTGAATATTATTAAGCTTTGGTTAGCAGAGGCACAAGAGTGCTATGAACATTCAAAAGTATTGTATTCTTTAAATTATTGTTGTAGAACATTATTTTGAAATTAACTATTTTAATACTGGCATATCTATTTTATAAAACTTTTAAAAGTTGTCTATAAAGACGCACTGTTATGTCAAAAATGTCTATAAAGGTGTATAATTTGCTTTTAAGTGTAATAGATTTGTGCTTTGGGGTTTTTAACACAAAATGGACAAACTGATTTCTGCATAGTATAACCACTGATACCTGTTTGTTCATGTGACAAACTATTATTGCTTATCCATATACATGGATCACCATTAGCTAGGTCTGGATTCTCTTAAAAATATCTGTGTGTGTCAGCATTTCTGGCAGTGAAACATATAGTAGCATTTCCTTAGTTTTTTACTGTCTGTAGTAGTACAATGATAACGAAGTTAGTGAATCCATTCAGTGCTAAATTACAGTTGATACATTCCATACTACCAAGGAGGAGCAATTCATTGATATATCTTCTGATGCTTCTTTGAAAAAAAAAATCCTGATGTCTCTCCTTGAATTTTGGAATCAGTGTACAACATTAGCACAAAGAACTAAGCAAGAAGGCTATGAGCATTTTTCCTATAGCATCTCATTTGAGTCAGGATTTTCTATGATTGATGATAATAATGTTCCATCAAGTTGGTGTCTACTCTTAGCAGCTACATAGATAGATTTTCTCCAGGAGAATCTGTCCCCAACCTGGCCCTTCAAGTCTTGGAATTGCTGATATAATAGGCAAATACTGATGAAAAATAAATATGGAACAACCAACAAGACTTCTTGTCTCAAAATGAATCCCAGATTTCAGGAATTATGTACAGTAAAAGTCCTTTCCTTTAAAAAAATATGGTTTTAAATATGATTTGGGTTTTTTGCTTGTTTGTTTCCAATGAAACAGATTTATTTTATAAAGTTAACAGTTATATCAATTTTATTTGATAAATTTTAATTCATAAAAGTAAGTGGTATATTTGTTTCTTGACCAACCCTAGCCTCAATGAAATAATTAGTTTTATTCATGGGGGCAGAATGTTTCCACCCAAATTAATTCATCATTTTAGAGGACTGTGTATCACCTTGGCTGTGGAGTTTAAAGGGGAAATTATTCTGTTCTTTGCTTTTCACAATAATTAAATAAATAACTTATCTTACTCTGAAAAGAGTGCAAGAACGACAGTGGATTTCCTTTTGGATCAGCATCTTTGACACATTACATTAAATATATACATACACACACATACACACACACACATATATATATATATATACACCAGTAATAAACTTTCTTCCAAGTTAGCAGCATTTTGTGTGTAACAAATCTCATTACAGTGAAAAAAAATACAGGTTTCACAACGACTTTTCAGCACTAAGGTTAAAGTACAATTACATGGCATATTTTGTAGATAAGAGCAGATCTGAGAGGATTGGACGCGATGGACATGTTATGTTCATGATACATCTATTACAGCACACACTCACCTCTTTTAATGAGGCATTAATATTATCAAAACATCCAAAGCAAAACCAGGCCGCATTTACTAAAAGGCAAAATAGCCACTTATTGTTTACCAAGCATATTTTTTCATACCAATATACTCTATGAATTAGCACTTCAAGTGCTGGCTTAGCTTCCCAAGACCAGAATAAATTAAAATAAGAAATATTTCATTCTTGCTCCCTGCATGTCGATCTACATAAACAGAGCTCTCTTACACATTGGGATCAGCAATCATTCAGGGGTGGAGGCTGATCTGTATATGTACCTAAAGGACATACATTAAGAACAAGCCAACAGATTGGGGCAATGGAGGGCAGGAGAAGGAGAAAGAGAAGGAGCAGGACAAATAGCAATGGATTGCAGCAGATGGAATTTGGAGTAATTTTTAATATATATAATCCATTTTAAAAATAACATCTGTAGGATCAGAACAAACGCCTATCTAAGCTAGCATCCAGTTTCCTCTATGATCAACTAATCACTTCTGGAAACTCATAGGCAGGACATGATGGCTTAATTTTCTCACACACTAAGCTGTGATTTGTTTTAACCATGGTTTCTTGAATAAGCCACAGTGGCTGTATTTATTTGTAACATTAAGCAATAAGCTACGTATGCCAAGATTGCCTTTATGGCACCTAGAGCTGCCCCTCAGAATGGAGAAGTCTCTTACAGTCTGGGGGGTTTTAGGGAGAAAAGGAGTGCCTAATCCTTGCAGATGCTCAGCTCTCCAATTTCAGCTTTAAAAACCCTGAAACCCCACCCTCCCCAAGCCCTACGCTCAACATGCTGCCCAAAGTGCAATGCAGCCCTCAGATGGGTGGACATTGTGCAACTATGCCATAAACTATGGTTTATAAAGCATATTGGCTGGATTCACACATGGCATGAAGGCACATCCAAAGCAATCAAATATGGCTTAGCACAACCCATGGTCCCCAGCAGCCGGGATCCAGGGACAGAATGTTTCCCATCGTGCAAAACTATCACAACTAGTAGGTTTCAGAGGGGGAAAAAACCGAGATGTATTGAGTGGCAATGGGAACTATCTGTTAAAAGAGATCCCTTTTTGTATTTGGCCACTGCTAACCCAAAACAGTCTCAGGCATACTGTAGAATGAAAAAACCAAGATCAACCCTTTTCCCACTACAGTGGAATGATGGGTTCGCATTAACACGAAATGGTTTGACTTCTAGTCTGTGCATGCCAGCCTTAGATAAAAGGACTGCTACCATTTGAGGAATGAGGAATGTTCAGGCAAGCCTCTATTTTGATCATAAGAGTGGGCCCACATTTTCCAAGGCAAAAAAATCATTTTGATTTTGACTGCAGGAAGTTTGGTTATTCAGCATAAACTCTGCTATCTATCTATCTACCTAGATAGACAGACAGATAGACGGGCAGGCAGACATGGCCCGTTTTGCTATATATGAATGCCAATGCAGGGGAAAAGAACCCTTATTCTCTGTCTTTCTGAAATACCAGAGAAAGACATGTTTGCACTCGCTTGCTTTTACAGAAATGACAGCCAGCGGTTCCCAGGTGGCAAAGGAACAGACTTGGAAAACCACAGTCAGAAACCATCTTCTCACAGACACTGTAACTACCCCAGACAGCTATAGGCCCACAGGCTTATCTAAACCAGGCATTTGCCCATGCAACTTAGTTGTACCATTAAAAAAAAGCAATGCCATTTTGTCATAATGAGCATTATTCCATTATTTGGGAGTGGCCGTTTAGTACCATGGCACATTAAAGCTGAGTCTAGTATGCAAGAGAAAAGTCTTACTTTGCAAGCATGAGAACTGGGGTTGGATTGCCAGTTGGTTTATTTGGATGCAGCTCCAGGGTGACATTTTTTCTAATCTGAGATAATCCTGCAGCTTTCAGGGATGGCTTTTTAGGACTATGAAGAAGTAGTGGAAGGAAGGAAGAGCTGTGGGTCAAACAATTGGGTTGTAGGCCCATGACAGTGCCACAAAGTCTCTTCTCTGAAATCCTAGAGTGGGTGTAAGTTGCCGAAGGCAGTACTGGCAGGGTTCATGCCTCATGCTTAAATCACGGTTTCTTAAATAAGCCCTTGCAGTTCACACATTGCACTAAGCTCCATAAACCCAGAGGTCTGAGTTTGCACAACATCTTCAACCCAGACAAAACCACTATATTATGGCTTCCTGTGATGTGTCATCTCAGTTGCTACTGAGATGGATTGATCAATCGATCGTCTGCCTCATTGAAAGGCAGCTTTCTATATTTAGAGAAAACCCTATCTATTCCACTGTAAACATCAACTGAGCAGTTTAGACCAGAATCTTGGAGAGAATTATTTCCAAACATTTAACTTGTCCCACATATCCATCAGATGTAGTATCCTGTTATAAGTACAAGCCAGAAAGTGGACATGTACCTTTCTCTCCCTTCACACTGTGCACGTAGTTTTCTTATGCAGAAATTATGCTTTTTTCAGGAATTGTTGCAAACAATGAAATTATCTCTCAGAGACAATTAACTATAGGTTTCTGCTTTGCTATTAAAATGTACATTAGAAGAGGTCTGTGTATGAATCAAGGTGACTCTTGCTTTCTGCTTGTTCATAACGACAATAAGGAGCATCGACTTCTATTTCTTGAGACTGAGCTTCAGGTTTCAATTCAGCATTTAAAGAAGCAACAAGGATTCTCCTGCTCCTTGGGTGAAGAAGTGAGACAGAAATGGTTGCTGTAAATCCATTCTCTATTGAGTTCAGTCTTCATCAAATGCTTCCATTCTAAGAAAAAAGAAAGAAGTTTTATTGAAACGCCTGCATGCTTCACACTGCTATTGTGTTAAGGTGCTTTATTCAGATGGATGCTGGGAAACATTTTTATGTTCATTTCCACATGATCATTGCATTTATAACAAACCAAGGTAATTTAGGGGTCTCATTAATTTGACTGCAAACCAGAAGAAGTGTGGAGAATGTTACTTTAGGAGGTAAGCTTTTCCCACTTCACTAGTCCATGCTGTGTTCACATCTCAAGAGCCTTCAGATCCAATACAAACTGGTCTTCTTTCCCTACTGCACATTACAGCCAAGTTGTTTCTTTAACCTGATTTTCACAACACCCTAAGCTATGGCTTGGTGAGCATAACATTGGGAGAACTTGGACCATGAGTTAAATTATAGCTAAAGAGAAGTGCTTTAGACGCAATTTGAATCCACGGTGATGATTGACTTATTTCATCCATGCTCCATGTGTCATCACACCTGAATAGAAGGATTAGTCAATGCTAAACTTTTTCTTCTGGCCTTTGAACATAGCAGCAGCCACAAAAAAAGCCACTCCGTTATCTCCACTGCTCCTCACTTCATCAGGCAAGGGGCACACGATTATGCTTTTGAAATGAAAGCAGGAAGAAATCCACACCCAATTCTTCCACCCACACCACTCTCTTCCTACCTATTGATCGCTGCCATAAAATGGTAACAGCTGAGGTTTGTACTGTATCAAAACAATTGTATTTTATACTATTCACACAGTTCTTACTTTGAACAGTATACATTTGTTATACTGCTTATACTTTCTGCCCTAATAATAATCAGATCAATTCACTTTATTTCAGTCAATGACATGATCAAAAAAAGGACATATAACTGCAACTCCAATGTCATGTACATGCAAGGAATGCACTTTTATGAAAAGTCTATAAATATTTTTGCCTTGAAAACTAATAAGGAGCAAATAAACCCTATAAAGACATTGTTCTTGGGCATTGTGCAAATCAGGTTAGAAGAGCTCAAGATCCACCCAACTTACTGTCAGAATCACATGTACCAAGTACTATCAGGAAAGTCCTATTTTCATTACATTTTTATCACAGCAACCAAATTCACACTTTTGAGTTGCTGGAAAAATAAACATTTCCCAGATTTGCCAAATACCCCCCAGTTGCTCTCTTCATTAGCATAACCCAAGATCCAGTGTGAAGGTGGTGGACTGGCACCAGAAAGACCCAGGTTCTGGTCCACCCTCAGTCATGGAAGTTCACTGAATAACTTTAGGCAGACGCTCAGCCCAGTCTGCCTCACAGAGTTGTGGCCCTGAGGAAGAAGGGAAGGAAGAAATGCTATTCAGGCTGCCTAGAGCTCCTGAAGGCAATAAATCTAACAAGTAAATAAATACACAAACAAACACATAAGATAATGCTATGGAAACCAATAGAATAGAAAATGTGGGAGAAAGCCTTTCATTTATCTTTATGGCCAACCTTTTCTTATAAAATGTAACTTCTTTCTTTAAAATTGAAACAAAACCTAAATGCTTAATTGATGTGAACCTCTTTAATTAAGATTCCTTGAACTACACAGATTTACAGTTTTGCCAGGATCTTTTGATTTATTCATGCTCCAACTCATAAGAGAGCCCCAGAAAAAAATTAAGCAGTAAATATAAAAGGTTCATGACTAAGCAAGCTCTGATCCATTAAAGGTGCAACATTCGAGAAGAAGCTGTCCTCCCAGGGAACTTTAGCATCTAGGAGAATATCTGCCCAGAGACAAAATCATGCCGAAGAGCTTCCCACTTTTGTTCTTCAAAGGGGGAGCACTCAACTTGGCTCATCTTCAGGCAATGCTAGGTAACTATACAAACCACTGCCTTCCACATCATAAACCTACAAACTTTTACACATCAAAGCCAGAAGAATATATAGAACAGTTTGCCTTTTGTTCTCAGTGTGATTGTCTCCTTTGTCCCTTCAGTTTTTGAAGGAAAATGTTTAGGCCACAATGCAAGAACCAGCTGAAGTGGAGTGCCGAAAAAGCAGAATGAAGTGAGGCTGGAGTAGGAGGGGCCAGCACTCACTAATCCTTTGCAGGTAATTGCTGCCAGACAGAATTTAGCAGGTATTGGCAAGAAAGCTGCTCTAACTACTAGTTAATAGCTCCCTTGCAAATAGGAGCTTAGCGTCTACTGGGTGAGATGTGCCTGATTTCAGCATTTATAGATTCCATTTCCAGCAGGTATAACAAGGGAACTTCTCCTGGCTTAAATTATCAGTATTCCACATGAAGACAATCTATACCAGCTGAATACTTATACTGATTACAAACTTTAAACAGTGCTATGTTTATAGCTTCATGAATAATTCTAATTTCAGAAGTGTTCATGCAAAATTATTGCAGCACTGATCCTTATTTGCCTTCCTAATAAGTCCCTTGTTCTTCTATGACAGTGTTTTTAATCTTGGTAACCTGAAGATGTATGGACTTTGACTCTCAGAATTCTCCAGCCAGCTGGCTGTGGAATTCTGAGAGTCAAAGTCCACACATTTTCAAGTTGCCATGGTTGAGAAACACTGCTTTCTGAGCACAGATTCAGCCAATGTCCACAATCTTGGCATTGGATGGACCTGGAAGGAAGAAAGGAAGGTTTGTTATGCTACTAATCAGTGGATGCATATACTATGTCACGGATTATTTTACCATAGTTTGTTGAACAAGCCAAAATAGCTTCCACATAACACTAAATCATAATGGGTGGTCACATTCTATGCTAAGTGATGATTTAATTTAGCACATTTATTGGGCAAGACATATAGTATAGGCTTGTAAATAATATTAAACCATTATTGGTGGGTACATACTTTGCTAAGGCTACAGATGTGGGCTACAAAATAGTCTTCTGTTGTCTGGATTTCTGCAGGCCAAATTTGGTAGCCCTATATATCAAACTAAGTCAAAAGCAAACAGCGCATTATGGCTTAGTGCAGGATAAACGTAACCTGAGAAGCATTAGTAAGCATGCTTGAGATAAAGCTAGGCTTTGGTTGTGCTTATGGTATATTGGCCAAAATGTGCCAAAACTGACCAGAGCTGTCCTTACCATTAGGTACTGCATGTTCCTTGGGTATGGCTAAAGCTGGTAACCTCCTCCTCTATCTAGTTGTATGAATGCCTCAGTCAACCCAAGCCAAGTCTGGCAACGGAGGTCAATATCTACCGGACGATTTAGGTGACAACCACAGCATATGGCAGATTTGCAATTGGAAAAATAAGAGCATCAATGGGAAAAAGCATGAATTAACAGGTGAAATGAAATAAAGAAAAATATATTTTTACACTGTGTGTCTATGAAATGGGAAAAATGTAATAGTTCTAAATGAAGGTGGTCTGATGTAATTGGAGTTGATAAATACATATAGGGAAGTAAAGGTATAGATTTAATCATGAATAAAGTGGACAAAAAGTAGTATGAATTGATATCTTCTAGAGCGCTGTGAATGTTTATGAAAATAGGAATCCATAGGTTGGCGACAATCATATATTATCCTGCAGAGAATGGGGACACTGGAAGAAACAGGGAGCGGTTTTGGGAAAACTATGCAACATTATGAATGAATGCTATTCAGAGGTGTCTGCAGGGGAGGGCCAAGGGGAGGAAATGAGAAAATGATGCAACTCTGTCCCTTTTGAATGTGGGTTGCAACATCACATGTATGTACTGTATGAAAGAAATGAAGCTTGTGTTGTGATGGTTTGCACTGCTAGTTTATATGAATGGATCGGTGGAACGGAGATAAGAGAGGAAAGAAAAAGCAATTGGTCCATTCAGAAACCCAGGAATGAATGAGAATTGTGATTTGTGAGTATCTGCTCAGAAAAATATTTGTCTCAAATACTTGGTTCAAGTGTAAGATTATTCAAGTATATAGAAAAAGAATGAAATTAAAAACTTGTTTGATTTGATGATTTACGATGAAAGATTGAGAGAATTAATGATAATAAGGACATTGTGAGGTTCTCAATGTGGGATAGGCCATTTTTGGACAGTATCAGAGTGGATCTTGGGAAAAAATAGACATGGAAGAAAAGGAAAAATATGAGCATATAAATCAAACAACTACAGGAGTATGAAAAGGTATAACAACATAGATTAATTTCAGCACAAAATTAATGGAAAAGCAAAAGGATGCAGAAGCTGTTTGGAGCAGAGTGAAAAGAATAAGTGCCATAGAGGTACATGGAGTTATGCTAACAGGAAAGGTAGATAAAGATGCTTGGTGAAATGATAAGGTGAAACAGCTGTGGTATGGATGAGAGAGAGAAAAAAACAGAGCGAAAGAGAGAATTACTGCTGCAAAAAATGAGGATGTATCAATAGAGAAAAAAGATAGTTGTAAAGAATGTGATCAAAGAGAGTAAGAAACAATTGAGGTTAAAAGAGGCAGGGAAAATGCATTTTGACGGAAATTTTAAAAAATGCTTTGGAAGGGCTAAAGAAGAACTAAAATGGCTAAACAAGGAGCCTCCAGCAAAGGGAATGGAATTAAAAGTAAACGGGATGAAATGGTTTGAGATGAAACTAGAGTGAAGGAATGTTGAAGGAATGACTTAGAAATGTGTATGGGAATGATGTTAGTATCTAATAGGAAAAAACAATGAAAAAAGTTATAAATGTAAGAAAGTTCAAAAAGTGATAAGGCTGCCAGCGTTAATGGTGATCGTGGAGAAATGTTAATATATGAAAGTGGTTTGCTTATGGCATGGTTGTTTGATGTGTGTCTGAAGAATGCATCCATGCCTAAGGACTGGAAGAATGCCATTCTTATCTATCAGGAGTGAATGTCAAAACTGCAGAGGTATTGATTAGTTTTGTAAGTGTTTCTGGGAAGATGTTTGACAGAATCCTGATTGAAAGGGAACAAGAAGTAACAGTGAGCAAAATCTAGTGAGTGTGATATTTGCTGTTTAGTATATCAATGAGAAATGTCTGAATGTGAGAATGT